GTAAAAAATTAAAAATTTTTTTGGTTCTGTATGTACGGTCAGTTATTGTATGAGCCTAACACGGCTCATACATCTTAACTTTTATTGTAAGTGAGCAATACAATTGCGTTCCCCTTCGGTACCAATGAAATTGTTAGTTGCAATTTTGATTGTTGGTCCAACACGTGGTCGGCACTGAAGGGAAACATCGTGACTCGTGAGAAAACCTGCATGTCTGAGAAATCAAATTCAAATTCAAATTCATTTATTTGCCAGAATGTATGTGTACAATAATGTATGATCTTAAATTATGTATAATGTCCCATTTACATTCTACCACTTTATATGGTGTGCAAATATTTTATAAAATGGCATACGTGCAAAAAAAAGTTTAAAAACAAGTGGGAATTCAAATGTCACATTGTGTAATGATTGTTCTTAATTGTTAATGTCCATACTTTCAGTTTTTTTGTAATTAATTAATTATTAGATATATATCAATACTACTGACTTTGGATTTGTTTTCCACAAAAGGACATATTAAATTCATTTAGGTCGTAACAACATTTTTCTTTTAACCATTGTATCAACTTTTTTTTAAACATGGTTAAAGGTAACTCTTTAAAGTCGTTGGGTATTTTGTTATACACCTTTATAGCATTTACGTAAGAGTTCCTTTCATACAATTTGAGCCTGCATTGAGGTAAGTATAATTTATGTTTATTTCAAGGAGCTACATTTCATTCAGTTACATTTATATGCCTTTCAAAGTGTTCAGGATGTTGTTTTACAAATATGCGTATTTCTTTAAGGTACAAGCATATTAATGTCAAGATCTTGTACTTTTTAAACAAGGGCTTACAGCTATCCGTATACCCTGCTCCATAGATTGCACGCACACATTTTTTTGTACTCTAAATACTTTTATTACATCTACTGAATTGCCCCACAATAAAAGATCATATGATAGTACACATTATACCCAGAAATTTAGTACTTGCTACTTGTTCGATGATCTTATCATTATATTTAACATTAATATTCAATAGTTTTCTCTGATATGTCTGAAATTGGATCATTTTAGGTTTTTTCCATATTAATCTGTAAATTATTACAATAAAGCCAGTCTATTATTTTTTTGATTGCTTTATTTATCTCTATTTCGTATGTATCTGCATTTTCGCATTTCACGATAAGAGTTGTGTCATCAGCAAACAAGATTGTGTTATGGCGAGTGATATTAGGGAGATCATTAATATACATGAGGAATAAGAATGGTCCCAATACACTGCCTTGTGACTCGCCAAAGTCATTTATCTGATTGTCGCTTCTGTACAACACTTTTTTGATTTTTTGTTTTTATTGACTTTAGATATTTCCACACATTGTTGTCTCTCACATAAATAGTTTCTCAACCGTTAATCGTTAGCTTTACCTCTTATCCCATATTTTCCTAATTTGTGTAAGAGCAATTTATGGTCCACGAAATCGAACACCTTGCTCATGCCCAGGAAGATTGCCGCAACTGGAAGACCATCATTTATAGCCTGGGTGACTATTTTAATCAAATTAAAACATGCTAACGAGGTTATACTATTCTGTTTAAATCCAAATTGCTCCTATTTAAGTAAACGATGACTTGTCGTAAATTCTTGAAGCCTTCTCAGCATAATCTCGAATATTTTTGACAATATGGGTATACGCGTCAAATATTTCGATGGCGTATAAAATCCACAAATCCGCTCGCCGGTCTAACTAAGTGCTTCAAGACCCTTTCAGAAGTTAGAGGAAGCCTGTGTCCAGCAGTGGGAGGTTAAATGCTGTAATTTTAACTTTATGTATGGTTCTGTATGTTCTTTATTTTTAGTCAACTGCAAAAGAAGAAGGAGGTTGACAATTCGATTGATTTCCGGTTTTTATTTGTGTTCGAACCAATTTTGATGATTCTTTTTCAATAAAAAGGTTATACTTATTTCAGCGTTGGTGCCATGTAAATTTGGAGAAAATGGAGATGAAGTAATAATGTTATTATTAATTTACATAAATAACTTCATCTACGTGGTAGAGTCGAGCTATATTATGGTTTTAGCACGAAAGGGTCGGCTCGACCGGAGAAGGACCACGCTCTCACAGAATACAGGCGTAAAATAGCATCTTGATGCTGCTGTGTTTCGTATGGTAAGTGTAGAGAACCGGAGACTCGTTTTACTGGATTGAGGCATTCCATCTTAGTCCTCAGGGGTGACAACACATTTGCATTTTGATTCTTCATTGAGGTTAAAGGTAGATGTCTATGGGCCAGAGGATCCACTTAACATCAGGTGGACTGTGTGCACGTTTGTCACCCTAATTCTATAAAAAATATGTATTTAAACGGCATTAACATTGTGGTATGTAAATATAGTCCACGCAAAAAGTTTTTGTTTTATAAGGAATAAAACAACTTATTTTAAAAAGGTTTTTACTTTTAATTATAAGCTATTATTTTATAATATGGAGTTGATAACTTCACTGTGAACTGATGAATATCACGATTGCTTTACGAAGCATAATTATTAGGATCTTACGTCAGCCTCTGCTTGCATGCTGATGTCTGTCTATAAATAATTAATTTTCTATGCGCTTAATACAAACTATGCGACATGTTTGCATAAATTGATAGAGTTGTTCCTCACATGTCTATATTTAATTATATTTATGATTATTTAATGTTTTATTCTTGACTTGTCGTCTGCTACTGCGGTTAGTTATATTTAATTAAAATGTTAAAGACAAGTTTTTTTCTAGAGGTGAGGAAGGCAAATAGGCACACAGTCTACCTGATTTATCAGTGGATGCTGTGGCCCATCCTCGATTAAGAACCAAAATGTAGTTGCGTTGTCGCTTGTCAAATTGTCATCCTTAAGGACTGAGACAAAATGTCCTGTTACCAGTAAGAAAGGTCCTCGGTTCTCTAGACTCGCCTTTTATGCTGGTATTCTTTGAGAGCTAGATTCTTCTTCGGTCAAGCCGACCCATTAGTTGTGCAACTACAATATATCTGCAGGTTGGCTCTACGATTTCTTCTATTTATGGCCAGGTATTCCAACATGTGTAGAAATCAAATTAAAAAGTGTGAGAAGCTATGCTCATGCTATTGGTTCATTATTGTTTTATTCTCAAAGCGAGTGCACGTTGATTACAACGTTCGCCAAATATCTACATATATTGGTGAGTTAAGATTGATAGTTGCTAATAAGTCTGCGATAATACTGATAAACCTAGAAGTGGCCAGTTAAAATTTTGTAATAATAATAATAAAACGACTAGCTTATTAAGCCTCTCTACAGGTTTTGCTGTTCACGAAAGCGCGCCTTCTTTATATTGCCTAGTATTTGAGAATGTAGTGATACTCAAATAGATACGTTAAAAGCGTAGGATAATGTCTAGATTTATGCCACAAATCGATAGATTCATTATCCAATTAATTAATAGTAGTGGTAATCGATGGGTGCTCGTGGCTCAGGAATATACTTTGTGCCGATCAATGGACGAGGCCTGTGTTCAGCTTCGGACTTGTGATGAGTTGTAATGATGATATTGATAGTGATTCAAATAATATTATATACTCGCATATCCTTTCTGCTTTTTATACTGTAAACTGTTCAATCCTTGCAATTTCCGTTACCTGAAAGACTGTTTTGAGTTCATTTGCTCTTCTCACTACTGACAATCTTTCTCTTACTTGTCACTCCAACACATTCATCTTCATTCTTTAGTAAAATTTCATTTTTCCTTACAGCTTTACGCTTGCAGAACACTTTAAAAGTTAAAGTCATAACCTATAATATAAATATACGTCCCAGTCCTGGCCACAGGCCTCCGCTCATTTCTGAGAGGGTTTTAGGGCAGGGAAGTGTCCGCCGCGCTGCCCCAATGCGTGTTGGCGAACCACACATGTCTTCGAAATATTTTTTTTATTTCTCAGACATGCAGGTTTCCTCAAGATGTTTCCCTTCACCGCTGAGCACGTGGTAAATCAGCACTTAAAATTGCAATTAACAATTTCATTGGTGCTGGCGGGGATCGAAACCGGTTTGCTCGCGTACTGTGAAATTTACAGCGAGCGCTAACCATCTAAGCTACCACGGCTCTGTACGCGGAACACTTTACCTTTATCCTTTACTTACATATTCGACGATTCAGTCCCTTATTTCGCTTTCAAATCTATTCAAAATCTATTATGTACTTTGAACTCCGTTCTATTCTGCATCTATCCGATTACTATTAGTTTTAATTATGCACACATCCCTTTTCCTCAATATTTGTGCACAAAAGTTTTCTGCGTAAGAAAGTTGTCTGGAAGATATCACTTTCAGAGCGATAACACGGCCTATTTAATATATTTTATGCTTTTATAATATATTTCACTCTCACTTCATTGGTTTTAAATATATTATAGTGGTTTTAAAATAGTGTGCAATAAGCAAAAAAGGACAGGTGACGGAGAACAATGCGAACGGTACGAGACATCTGTTGTGGCAAATTTTCTTTACAAAGAGGGAGTCTCATGTATTGCAGAGATCTATTAAGGGTTGATGCTGATCATGATAATGAATTAAGTCATAGAGTGTTCGTAGAAATTAAAAAAAAATCAGATTGCGAAAAATGTGCATAGTTATATTAGCAATAACCGTGCAATCGTTCAAATACTTTCTATTGTTATCTCGGCCAATCTTATCATAACGACTTATCGTTTATAACGTTTGTCCTTAATTGCCGGAAAACGCACCCGAATTCTGCCTGCTATCGTTTGTTTACACACACTTTTTTAAACGAGGTTATTTCAAGTGCGGTTACGGTGTTGTTGAGACGTGGATTGACTAACTTTATTCTAAATTATTAAATAATTTCTTTTAGTTCTACAAAAATATATATAATATTAAAAAAAAAACATTCAGGTATTTCGAATAAATTGTGAAAGTAATATAAAGTCAGACCGGTTGGATTATATTGCAAACAAAAACGAATAAGAAAAACAAATGCCTTCGGCACTGGACATAGACCCATTCAGCCAGCCCGAATGGAGTGATTCGAGTGACTCGACGGAGCCGGGCCCCCTGCCGCAGCTTGGGTACTTCGTTCCCGTGCGGTGCAGGTGCGACCGAGTGACGCATCACGTGTGTCGGAGAAGCAGACGGTAACTATGCAATTAAAGTTCATTGAGCCAATTTGTGTTCTGATTTTAATTTAATATACCTATTACCTATCCACTAATTTGTTTTGGACTAACATGATACAAATGCTGTATTATATTATTTTAAGTTTGACGTATTTTTCAATATAGTACTAGTAAAATCGTAATAAAAAAGTATAATTTAAGTAACTAAAATTAAGTTCAACTAGCCAGCTTTTGTGGTCACTATTAAGGTAAAATCGCCTGCAGGCACCTACCTACCTATACGAGCTTAGCAAATATATGTTTGAATTAAAAAAATGTTGTGTAAGTCATGGAGTAGTTCATCAGCATCTTCAAATGGGATATAGTATCCCACTTCAAGATCGTTGCTAAATATTCTCCTTTCCTAAACTCTAAAGCATCTACTTGTAGGATACTGATTTAACTTAAAACAAAGCTCTAGACAAAAGTTACGTAAAATTATTAATAATACTGAAAAAAAAACTTAACTTTAATATGAGACCAATTAAATATTCTGGGCTTATACAATGCCATAATAATCTATATTTTCTAAACGTCTATAATAAAGAGATTTAAATATATATACTACTACTTATATTGTCTTTGGTCTATAATTTTTAATTTTGCATATACACATATTATAAATAAATGTTGTCATAAGTAAATATAATAACCTATTTTTACTACTAACCTAAACTTAAAGCTACTACTTGCTACTAGTGTGCTATAAACTTTCAAATAGTAGGACTTATTTGCCTCAAAACCGATGTAATTAGGCCTGTGATGTATTTAATTTTAGTTCACATTGGCAACAACGAAAAAATGTTTGAATGGGGTATAGGTGTTGCTACATATTGCTTATTAAATATATTAAAATTTACTTACTTATAAAGTAATCGCTACTCTAAACTCTAGTGATAAACTTTTACTCTATGCAGGGACTGTAAATAGTCGATTTATTTTAATATGGGGTTGTAGTTGTCCCCTGGGTTGTAGAATTGTTGTTTACCATCAGGTCGTCAGAATTAATTCGATTTCACTCTAATGATAGACTTGTAATTAATAAAACATAAATGAAATGACATAAATAATGAAATTCATTATAAAAAGAAAAGTGTTCCGGTTGAAAACTTTTTATTGTACACTCCTGTTTTACCCGATTACACTTAAAGGAGGATTGCGTTATCGCTCGCATATGTATGTACAATACATACGTATATTTATTGATGGTTGCTCATTCCTTTATGAACTGCAGTAGCGTAAACAACTTGGATGTCGTAAAAGTGCAAGGTGTCATTAAATTCGTATATAAATGTTTATATGTATTGTGCCATAGCGTAGGAACATTATTTAATCTGTGGCCTTAATCTATATATTTATGATAACAATACTAATAGTCTTTACTTTTTTCTTTTAACATCTTGTCGTTGCTTAAGAAATGTCTTTGGTTAACCACCATGCAAAAACGAAGACAGAATGGCTGAATGAATAACGTTATTTGCTTTGAACAGGTTATAATAGAGATAGAGATATTTAACAAAGAAAAAATCCTGGTTCAGCCAATGAATTAGCATGTTATTTACATGCTAATTTATTGTTATTATTTACTAAGCACTAATGTTTACAATTAAAATTACATACATTTTTATTTAAAAGAAACTTACAATAACTTTGTTTTAATTTATTACCAATAAAAAAATCTACAATTAATAATACACATTGAACACAGCGCAAATCACTAAGGTTTAGTAGCTGTGCTTGAGTTCGCTATACTTAAAAAAAAAAAAGAAAAGTGCAAGCTCGCAACAGACCATATTATTTGTGTTAAATAACTGGCAACTTGCAAACTTTTTTTGTTATGACAGGCGAGCATACCGATGGCTCCTAAGTATAGTGAGTCAACTACAAAATTCAAATTTTAGAGGAGCGCCAGTCAAAGATTAATTGTTTATAAATTTTTCTGTTTTTGTACTAGAATGTTGATTTTTTTAAGTTTGTGTTATTTTAAGATTTGAGACACTTATACAATAAAGTAGTAGACCTGTTTTAGTGAGTTTCCAGGATAATGTAGTTGGCTTAGTGTACATCATATAAATCATGGCCTTTAATGAGCTAACTGTCACATACACTCGTTTACAATGTATTTGAATATTCACCATATCTTTAGGAAAAAGTATTAGGTTTATAAATACATAAATACAGTACTGTAATTTATTTTCTTGGACTAGTAAACCGACGTTGTATCTACAGTTTCAAGGATAATATATTAGTTGACTCATTATACACCGATTTTTATGTCCGAAATCGGTTCGATGAAGTAGCAGTAAATTGATATATCTGCAAATTAAGCAAGCTTTTAGCTTGTTAATTTTTGATACGAAGGAAAATAACTATGTTTTTTTTTCCTTTGTATCAAAAATTAACAAGCTAAAACATATTAAGTTAACAATCAAGTAGTTAAACTTTTTATATTTTCCATAAAACAAAGAAGTTTAAATTTCTGTCAGAAACCAAAATTATATTTATATGCGTTAAAATTAAAGGTCTTATTTCTCTTCCTAATCAGATAATTAATTAATTTTTGGAAGTATTTATTTTAATAAAATTCAATAAAATAAAATATATTCAGGAAAAAATAATATCTAAGTAGATAAATCAGGGTTTTTTCAATCAAATTTTTCTGAAACGGTATAAACAACGTAAAAATTTATCGAGAGGGTTCTAAGGAACATTGTTTTACAAACATATATTCTTTTTTATCTCTGCATTTTCATTTAATTTCAACCATGGTAAATAGTATTTAATAGTGTATAGCCGCTTGGAATTTTCAAAAACAGTTAAGCGCTTAGAATGTACAGAACTTCTAATAGTATATAATCGAAAAATAATGTGATTATTTACTGTCATAGTTATATTTTAAATAAGTTAATGTAATGAAAAACTTAATTTACTTAATATTTTTATGAAAAGATTCCATTAACTCGTTATTTTCAAAAATTTCGTGTTCGTTATTTTTGTCTTCTGAGTATCTAGTATTTTGTTGTGTTCTTTCCATGCTTATTTATATTTAAACACAACAATTTTTAACTTAAATCTAATATAATGACCGTAATACACACCTAAATTCCAGTCCAGTGTGCACATGTCGCTTAAAGTACCCCGCCCGCGTCCCGCGTTTACTGAATTCGAGTAGTTAGCTTAGAGTACGCCGTATGGCAATTTTAAATTCCACAACATAAACCAGTATACGTTAGATTATTTCCAAGAATATTTACGCATTTTAGATTTTTTCGATATAGTCTGATAGATAATATATTTTTACAATCAATGCCATCAAAACCTGAAAATACCTAAAAATGTTAGATGACTCACTATACTTAGGAGCCATCGATACAGTCCACTTGATGGTAAATAAATGCTGCGGCCTTAGGCATCTACATCTATCCTCGATTAAGGATAAAAATTCAGATGTAGTGTCACCATGTTGTGTGTTGTGTTGATGACTAAGATGGAATGTCTCGTGTCTTTGAAATGGTCCTCCGATTCTTTGCACTCTCCATATGCAATACAACAATTATAAAATTAAGCTATTTTACGCTGGTATTCTGCGAGAGCGTAGTTCTACCTCGGTCGAGCCGACCCATTCGTACTACAACTACAGAATAAATAATAAAACTAAAATATAGCTCCAACGGCTAAAAAAAATTAAAAAAAAATGTTTAAAAATTTTTTTTTTATTATTTCATCAAGAACATGCCTTGTATATTTATGAAAGACACTTTCCATTGTCCATTTAATGACCTACATCACCACTAACCATCAACAGGAAATAAATAGTATAACAGAACACTGGACTTTGTGATCAAATCAGATTGCCACATTCATTTGAACAAAAGACTTCCCCTGAACGTTTTTGTAAGCCTTTTATTTGTTTAAGTACATTTTAGTAACTATTGCAAAACCTGCACCTCAGTAAACTGTTTCTGATTTTAATAGAACGCCAAATACTTTTTATTTAACAATCAGATAAACTTTATAATAGGAGAAAAACAACAATCTGCTAAAACGATGAATAACAGGCTGGCAAAATAGATTTTTTTATAGTATAGAGTTGACAAACGAGCACACAGTCACAATCCACCTTACGTAATTTGGATTATTTGATGATTGATGATTGACCCATATACACCTAAATCTATTCATTAGAATCAAAATGAAGATGCATTGTCACCCCTGAACATTGAGATAGTAGAATGCATCATTACCATTAAAAAGGTCTCTGATTCTCTATACTCACCATACGGAACACAGCAGCATTAAGCTGCTATTTTGCTGCTATTTTGGTATTCTGTGAGAGCGTGGTGCTTCCCCGGTCGAGCCGACCCATTCATGCTGCAACCATAATATCGATACTACGAACGTAATTAAATACGTAACGTCCACGTTATTAATTGTCCTGACTTCGTTGATTTACCTTTTTAGTAACCACCCAGGAACCACAGGGCTCCCCCCCCTCCTCTAAAAAAACAAACCAACACAACCCCCTCACTAAAACAACCAAGACGAAAAAATAAGTTGTTCCCTAAAAACCCCATCTTCCCCACACCCCACCCCTCCTACCTTCACAAGAACTTTAAGATAAAAACGCCACTAGATGTGCTTTTAAAACTATACTAATACTTGACTTATTTTCATTAAACCACTCTAATTAGTAAATATGCCACACCTGAGTCAAGCTCACAAATTTTAAGTTTGCAATCCATACGCTTTAATTTTTTTTTTTGCGCCCGGAGCAATTAAAGGGCTACCCTATACGTAGGGAGGCGGAAAATGCATTACGCATACCACGATAGCCGGTCTATCGTGATTATGAGGGACTCACTGTCCTACCGGGGACCCTAAGTGATACCCTCTAAAAACCGCCTTTGGGGACAGGCAGCCGGCTGATAAGCGAGTGCCTTATCGTGAGCGACCCTCTTTTGGGAAAAGAGGGCGCAGGCGGCTACGAGCCGCTGAGGGAGTGCCTACGAAGGCAAATTAATATTAGTTAATATAATAATTTAATTTAATTAGAGTTGGCCTGAGCCGCCAGGAAGCAGTTCAGATCGTTAGTTAGTTTATTAGGCGGGTCCGAGAGAGAGTTTCTCGGCCTGTGGACTCGATAGCGAGAGGGGGGGTGGGGCTGCATAAGTAGCTGCCTCACGAATTAAATGATTTGGGTGCGACTCTGAGGCTTTGAAGAAGTTCTCAGAGAGTTTTTGGGGTACGCTTTAACCGCACTGCAGCTGTATTATAGGTGCAACAGAACTGGTCGCCTCGATCGGGGAAGAACCGTACCCACATAGAATACCAGCGTATAATGGGTTTTCGTTGGCTGAGTGTAGTGAACCCTTTTGTATTGATAAAAAAGCATTTCATGTTCTTAATGGTGACAATGCATCTTTATTTTGATTCGTAATTTTTGATAGGTGTAGAAGAGTATTATTGTGTGCTCGTTCATCAACTACAATTCTCTGTAAAAAAAGGAGTGCTGCATTGCAGTCTATAAATTTAGACAATTTTGTACAAACCTTCATGTATAACAGATTGTTAAAACGTGATATTGTTCACTTTGTACAGTCTATTACATGTATATATATATATATACATAATAGAACGGTACACACCCACAAAAGAATTTGTAAAGGATTCCATTAGGTATTTTAAAGATATTTATGTACATCCGAGATTTCCCCAAAAACTTCAATCAATTAATCATTTTTGATGATTGTTTTGTAGGAAGGTTTGAGTACCTATAAAATTTTAACATTATCATTCTTATATAATATAAAGTTACACGCTTAAATGTACATTTAAGTACATTACAATGTTTTGCGTTATTATTTATTTTGTCACCTCAGACCAATAAAGACTTATTGGTCTGAGTAAGTCACCTCATGTCTGCAACATATCACTTATCTATTTTTTATAGAATAAAGGTACAAACGAGCGGACAGTCCATTTGATAGTAAGTGGATGCTGTGGCCCATAGGCATCTACATTTATCCTCGATTAAGAATCAAAACGCATTTGCGTTGTCACCCCTGGACTAGGACTAAGATGGAATACCTCGTTTCCAGTAAAAAAGGGTCTTCGGATCTCTACGTTCACCATACGAAAAATAGCAGTATTAAACTGCTATTTTACGCTGGTACTCTGTGAGAGCGTGATCCTTCCCCGGTCGAGCCGACCCATCCGTGCTACAACCATAATATAGCTACAGCGTGGCTCTACCACGTATGAAAAAATATGTGTTTAAAAACGAGATACCTAGTTAATCCTACTATATTGTGAAGCTTATCACTTTACATAAAATCGAATGGGTCTTTTTTTAAAACAAGTGTTCCTGATTGCAGAGAATCTCCCCGGTCGCGTCGCTCGGTGTCGCAATGCTCATGCAACAGCATGTCGCGTCGCTCGTCGGCGGCAGCGTCGCCGATGCCGCTTCCCACTCTCAACAACACCATGGAGATGTACGTCGAGCCCGTCGTCGAGGACGTGAGTACCTTTACGTTTCACATAAATAAAACCTTTTTCACTATCAACCAGTATATATTTGTCCTTCTCGCCGACCGCGAAAATTTCAAAAGCTAGATGCACAAGATGAAACCAAACGTCATAAGCCAAAGATATGTACGCGGCGACGTTATTATTGATGAAACTAAGGTGGCAAATGAACTTACAGTTCGTCACCTGTAGTCCACTTCAAACATAGAAGGCTAGAGACACCGTGTCAAGTCTGGGAACTAGGATGGAATGCCTCCCGGCCTGTAATTAAACTGAAACTATACCCTTCAGATCGGGTCATGAGCAACAACATAACAATATGAGCACTGCTCTCGCCGAGACAGACTTCTAGGCAAGAAAGAAGTCTTACCACCTTCTTAAGAGAGACTTACACAGAGACAGAGTACCTCGTTCGAACCTGCCCGAGTCCGGTGTAACGCTGAAGGCATGTGAAAAACCTCACTAGAAAATATTTTCCACAAATATGTTTCCGCCTAAAATTCCCCATACAACTAATAATAATGTTCTCCAGACCGAATTCCGGCCACGGCGGCCTGCCTCAACAGAGACTAGCCATCGGCGCAGGAAAGGATTATAGTGCCCAAGTGTATGCGCAAGCACTGGTGCAATATTTAATAACAAAAATTTATAACAATTCACCGCAAGAATGCCTTAAGCATAAATCAAAACAACAGTTTAAAAACAAGTTAAAAAAACTTTATACTAATAAAAAGTAAAAATGGAATGTATCATGACGATTCATTGTACAAGATCATAGGTAAGCTGTAATATTTATGTGTGCATATATTTGTATGCATGTATGTTGTATGTATACGTGTAAGCGTACATGCAAAATTTATGCATATATGGAAAATGCCGTTACCCTTTAAATTACTTATTAATATTACATTAATACTATTGGTTTGTCATATTAGTGGTAGTATAATTGTATTAAGCTAGTCTTTTGTTTTTTTCTTTTTTTTTCCTCTTTATCTTTTGCATGTTAGAAAGTAAGAAAGCATTTTTACTGCCAACAAACTGCTGAGCAGTTTGGCAGACTGTAAAACTGTAATTGTGTGATTTTTTTATGTTAAACAAATAAACAAAAAAAAACAACTCTCTATTCCGTCATTCTCATAATCCGATGGGACGGTAAACTGACACGACCGGAGAGAGATCAGGCGCAGGACCAACGGCTTTACGTGCTTTCCGAGGCACGGGTGTGAGACACCGCCAACTTCCTGACTCCGAGCAGCTACTGAGAATTTCTTGACGGAAAAACTCAATACGAATTTTTTGGCCCGACCCGGGATTTGAACCCAGGACCTCATGATCAGCAGTCGCACTACTACAACCACCAGAACAACGAGGCAGTACTTGTAGCCTTAGTAACGTTGTTGATTACTTTTGGTTATCTTAGTCCTCCGAAGTGACAACGCATCTGTAACCGTTGTTTAAAGCTGCATCCATGGGCTAGTTAGTAGTTAGTAGGTTTTGAGGTCGTATGTCACTAGGGTTGCCACTTTTTTTGAACAAATACAGTATTTTTCCCAAAAAGGATGCAAAAATTTAGTAGGTACTCTTGAGAAATTCTGCAGAAAAGAAAAACACATTTATTTTTAATCCTTATATCGGTATTCAATACAAATATGAATGTATTTTTCCCTATATATTTGTTATTGCTCTTTGCTTTGGCCAACAATAATCTAACCACCTAACCTTCTATCTTACTTATAAAATAATTACAGGGACCTGAGCAATTTAGATTCATATTGAAATAAATTAAAATTATTTTTAATTAAATTAATACATTCTCTTTTTCTTTCTTCTTTCATTTTTACATTCATGATGGAAAACATACTTGTTCCAGATTTCAAATCACAGTTAATATAACAAAGCGACAGTTGAATTAGGGATAAAAATATAATTGAGTGAAATATAGTACGATACTATATATTAGTACGGGTGGCAACCCTATATGTCACTTATATTTAGTGAAAAAATTGGTGTATTGGTGTATTGGTTGAAACTTGTGTATAGTATATTCTATGTATAGTATAGTCTCATTCATGATGGAAAACATACTTGTTCCAGATTTCCAATCACAGTTAATACATATAACAAAGCGACAGTTGAATTAGGGATAAAAATATAATTGACTGAAATATAGTACGATACTATATATTAGTACGGGTGGCAACCCTATATGTCACTTCAATTTAATGAAAAAAATGGGTGTATTGGTTGAAACTTGTGTATAGTATATTCTATGTATAGTATAGTCTCATTCATGATGGAAAACATACTTGTTCCAGATTTCCAATCACAGTTAATATAACAAAGCGACAGTTGAATTAGGGATAAAAATATAATTGACTGAAATATAGTACGATACTATATATTAGTACGGGTGGCAACCTTATATGTCACTTCAATTTAATGAAAAAAATGGGTGTATTGGTTGAAACTTGTGTATAGTATATTCTATGTATAGTATAGTCTCATTCATGATGGAAAACATACTTGTTCCAGATTTCCAATCACAGTTAATATAACAAAGCGACAGTTGAATTAGGGATAAAAATATAATTGAGTGAAATATAGTACGATACTATATATTAGTACGGGTGGCAACCCTATATGTCACTTCAATTTAATGAAAAAATTGGTGTATTGGTTGAAACTTGTGTATAGTATATTCTATGTATAGTATAGTCTCATTCATGATGGAAAACATACTTGTTCCAGATTTCCAATCACAGTTAATATAACAAAGCGACAGTTGAATTAGGGATAAAAATATAATTGAGTGAAATATAGTACGATACTATATATTAGTACGGGTGGCAACCCTATATGTCACTTCAATTTAATGAAAAAAATTGGTGTATTGGTTGAAACTTGTGTATAGTATATTCTATGTATAGTATAGTCTCATTCATGATGGAAAACATACTTGTTCCAGATTTCCAATCCCAGTTAATATAACAAAGCGACAGTTGAATTAGGGATAAAAATATAATTGAGTGAAATATAGTACGATACTATGTATTAGTACGGGTGGCAACCCTATATGTCACTTCAATTTAATGAAAAAATTGGTGTATTGGTTGAAACTTGTGTATAGTATATTCTATGTATAGTATAGTCTCATTCATGATGGAAAACATACTTGTTCCAGATTTCCAATCCCAGTTAATACATATAACAAAGCGACAGTTGAATTAGGGATAAAAATATAATTGACTGAAATATAGTACGATACTATATATTAGTACGGGTGGCAGCCCTATATGTCACTTCAATTTAATGAAAAAAATGGGTGTATTGGTTGAAACTTGTGTATAGTATATTCTATGTATAGTATAGTCTCATTCATGATGGAAAACATACTTGTTCCAGATTTCCAATCCCAGTTAATATAACAAAGCGACAGTTGAATTAGGGATAAAAATATAATTGACTGAAATATAGTACGATACTATATATTAGTACGGGTGGCAGCCCTATATGTCACTTCAATTTAATGAAAAAAATTGGTGTATTGGTTGAAACTTGTGTATAGTATATTCTATGTATAGTATAGTCTCATTCATGATGGAAAACATACTTGTTCCAGATTTCCAATCCCAGTTAATATAACAAAGCGACAGTTGAATTAGGGATAAAAATATAATTGAGTGAAATATAGTACGATACTATATATTAGTACGGGTGGCAGCCCTATATGTCACTTCAATTTAATGAAAAAAATTGGTGTATTGGTTGAAACTTGTGTATAGTATATTCTATGTATAGTATAGTCTCATTCATGATGGAAAACATACTTGTTCCAGATTTCCAATCCCAGTTAATATAACAAAGCGACAGTTGAATTAGGGATAAAAATATAATTGACTGAAATATAGTACGATACTATATATTAGTACGGGTGGCAACCCTATATGTCACTTCAATTTAATGAAAAAATTGGTGTATTGGTTGAAACTTGTGTATAGTATATTCTATGTATAGTATAGTCTCATTCATGATGGAAAACATACTTGTTCCAGATTTCCAATCCCAGTTAATATAACAAAGCGACAGTTGAATTAGGGATAAAAATATAATTGACTGAAATATAGTACGATACTATGTATTAGTACGGGTGGCAGACCCTATATGTCACTTCAATTTAATGAAAAAATTGGTGTATTGGTTGAAACTTGTGTATAGTATATTCTATGTATAGTATAGTCTCATTCATGATGGAAAACATACTTGTTCCAGATTTCCAATCCCAGTTAATATAACAAAGCGACAGTTGAATTAGGGATAAAAATATAATTGAGTGAAATATAGTACGATACTATGTATTAGTACGGGTGGCAACCCTATATGTCACTTCAATTTAATGAAAAAAATTGGTGTATTGGTTGAAACTTGTGTATAGTATATTATATGTATAGTATAGTCTCTAAATCAATCATTCGACGGTTAGTTGCATAATTAATTATTCCTGGAGAGATTTAATTAAAAACAATTGTGTAATTGTATTTTTTTAAAGTAGTAAATCAAGTTAAAATTCCATAATTCCTTAATGAATCCAGTTCAAACACCAACTACATTAAAATCAAATCGCTGATTGAACAGAATTTCCTGCCTCGTAAACAGAACCGAATAGAGGCTTATCCAGGACCCCATTATTATGCCTGCTTGCGTTTGACATTACGGATACTTATTCTATTAAAAGGCAGTTCGTTCGTCCGAGTATTTTATAAAAAAGGCCTAAGCAGTAAGACTTATAAAAACAGCACTATTTCTTATAGCATTAAATTTTAAATAATTGCATGTATTTGCACGTACACATTATACAAAACATCCAAGTTTGAACTATGGTATCATCATATTAGTGTAACGGCTTACCTTTATTTAGATTCTTACTCGAGCAACTTAAGTTCCAGCCCATCCAATGAAATTTAATATGCTGATGTACCACGTTGTATAGGATAAAAAATATTTTGAAAACATATGGAGCATGTCAACACGCATTTTAACAGCACGGTGGTCTCTTCCCAGCCCCAAGGCTCTTTCAGAAATGAGTTCTG